CCAGCAGCATCGAGTGGTCGAGCTCCCCGATCTTGTCTGGCACCCCGCGCTCCGCGGGGTGCGCCAGAAGGCTCCAGTGGCCGTCGGGCCGCTTCGGCGCCAGGAAGCTCTCTGGCCCCAGGGCCAGCGAACTGCTCGGCCTCAGGTAGGTACTCGCTGAGAGCAAGACGAACAGCGCCATGCGGGGCTCGCCTCGGGACGCCATCTCGTTGGCCATCCCCGCCCGAAGACAGAGCGGCTCTGGCCGGCGTGACCGCCCTGGCGCCGGCCGCCCCCGCCCCTTCAGGGCGCGCCATGCTCGCGGCGCCCGGCGGCTGCCGTGCCGGCCAAACCCCGGCTCCGCATGCATCGGCGCGGCGAGCAGCTTGGCCCCGCGATGAGCCCATTCTCCCAGGGAGAAGTCCCGCTCGAAGTAGCGCACCAGCAGCATGTCCCAGGCCTCTTCCACATGGGCCAGCACCCGCCGCTTGCGGCGCCTCCAGAGCGCCCTCTCGCGGCCTCCCGCCGGCGGCGCGGCGCCCGCGGATGCAGTGCCAGTGCTGCTCGAGCTGCTCGACACTGCAGCGCCCGTGCGCGACCGCCCGGCGGCTCGGGCGGCGCGGAACGTCTGCCCGTGCCCCGCGAGCGTCTCCCACGCTGCCGGCAGGGTCCGCGCGGCCGTCGTCGCGCAACCTCCCGGCAGAGGAGCGCCAGGCAACGGCCGACGCCGCCTTGGCTTCTGCCCCTCGCCCTCTTTCACGGAGGGCTCCAGCGCGCGCTTGCGGGCGACGGCCGCCATGCCCGTGGGGCGCTCGCCCGCCGACGGCGCCGTCAGCAACCGGCACCTCATCGGGCGTCTGGGCGCCCGCCAGCGGCCATCGAACTGCCCGAGGGATCTCGGAGTGGATCGCAACGGGGCCACGCAGGCAGCCAGAAGGGGCTAGGGCCCCGCCGGCTTGAGCCAAGATGGCTACGCGACCTGGTGGTGACGGACGATTCGGCGGCAAATCGGGAGGGGGTGCCTCCGCCTCTTTCGGACGCAACTCTTGAGAGTCTGGCCTGGCTCGATCAACCTTGAAACTGCCCTGCCCCCTGGACTTGCATTCCACCCCCTGCTTCGGGCCGTAGATTCGGGAAGGACCATCAGCACTGTTGAGCTCAGACGGTATCCAGCGCGCCGCTGCATGCATATTCATGGCAAGGCAGTAACTACGAAACCGGCGCACTTGGTTCAGAAAGAGGAAATCACGGGCACGGCATCTATCAAAGGCAAGACGCGCAGCCATGTTGTCCACTAGGAGAAGCCGTCGCAAATTACGGCCGAAAGAAACCAGAGCGACCCCGCGGATGTTCAGCGCGAGGGCCCGAGCCTCGAGATGCACAGCCCCCTGTTTCCAGCGCCAGGGCCCCCAAAAGGTCGGGCGCCAGAGCTCGGGGTCCAGGCCGACCCCGGGCACCTCCAGAAACTCGGGGCCCACGTCCTGCATGGCAGGGGGGAGCGCTGCTCGGGGCCCCGTGGCCCCATCACTACCAAGCAGGCCCCTAGACAACTTCTCGCAGACTTCCTCGAAACCCAGAAAGCCGACGCACGGGCAGTCACGGCCTCAGGGACTAGAAACCGACCTCTCTCGCGACTCCTACCTGTCTGCTGCGCAAGCTTCAACGGCCACCAAGCCTCAGCCCCTCCGCATCCGAACTCGGAGGCATCCGAGGCGACGACGAGCCGATTCCATGGTCGGGCCCAGTCACTGCACGAGAAGATTATTAAGCCAGCAAACACCTGGAGCTCGTCGACCACGCTTGGCCACAGTCGGGCACTGATGAGGTAGTTTTTCTGCGCGAAACCATAGCAGGAATGGGAGCAGGAGAGGGCAGGTCGACGAGCCATCGCAAGGATCGTTAGGTGGCCCAGCAGGACTTCCAGAGCGCTCTCCGAACACCGGCCGCGCTGCAGCAGCCCCGCGATGGCCATCCGCGCCCGCAGCCGCCGCATCCCCGAGGCTGAACTGCATCAGCTGCCCGTCGATCTCGACGCCCGACACTTCGGGCGCGCCCGACGTCGCGGCCTGCTCGTGCACCAGCAGCCCCCTCTGCATGAAAGCCGCGGTCACTCCGTCAAGCGTCGACCTGACGCGCTGCGACCCCGCCTCCGTTATCCCCATGTTATGCACGTAGATGTAGTGGCGAAGAGCCTCTCCGCGCTCGCATCCCAGCACCGACGGCCGCCCACGATCTCGCAGGAGGCTGCCGGGGCTCAGCGGCGGCACAGCGCGGGCCAGCTCCTCCCCCGACACCCGGCAGAAGAACAGGCTCCAGGAGAAGCCCATGGGGAAAGCGACGGGACAAGGCCACGCCTGCTCGTTGCCCGTCAGCACGACGCCCTCCGCGGCGTGGCCAGCCAAGCCGCCTGCTCCGCTGCGCGCCGAGGGGAAGCAGAAGTAGCGCCGCAAGAAGAGCGGCGTCCTCAGCCTGTGCAGCGCGTCCTTCATGTCGGCCGCGCCCACCGTCACCGAGAACCGCTCAGCCAAGGACGTCACCGGCTCGTCGTCGAGTTCTTCGCCTGGGCCCACATCGAACTCGATGCTGCTGAGGCCCTCCGCGGTGATCACGTCCACGCTAGGCGGCCGCCTGAACCGCTGAATGGATCGGGCCACGGCGCCACCTCCCCCGCGCTGGTCACGTAGTCGTCGGGCAAGCGCTGGGGGGCCCCGGCCAGGGCCTGCATGCGGTAGTGCTCCACCGCCTTCCGCACCAGCTGCTCGTCGGTCGGGTACTCCTTGAACCTGTAGGACTTTCCGCGCAGCACTCTAGGCGGGCTCCCGTCGAGCGAAAGCATCGCGAGCCGATGAGGTCCCGGCTGGCTGCCGTCCAGCGCCTCGTCATACTCATCTCCGTCAGGCGTGATGATGCGCCAGTTCCAGCCTGGAGACGTCCCCAACTCCTCAACACTCGTGCCGACCAGAAGCCGTTCGTGCCAGCGCGCGTCCTCGCCATACTTCACCGCCACAGTCTGCCCAGGCCGAAGCCTAGGCGATATAGCCTCTCCGGTGCCGACGAGCCCCGTCTCCAGCACCAGCCTCGCGCCTCTTTGGCCTCTCGGCAGCAGCGCCATCTCGACGACTCTGCAGCCAGGCGCGTACCTGGAGTCCGAACGTCAGCAGGCCCAGCAGGACGCCAGCCCAGCCGCCCGGGGGTGCCTCGGAGTCGCCACACTCGCAGCGACACTCGGGGGCGGCCCAGCCTTGGCTGCCCTCCTGGCCCTCGGCCTGCGCCACGGTCCGCGGCGGTGGGGGCGGGGGGCCTTCGTCTCTCAGCCGTTCGAGCGTCGAGGTGACCACTGCCTGCACGCTAGGACCGACCGCTGCGGGCTCGTTCGCCTCAGGCGTGAGCCAGCGCAGCTCGGGCAGCGAAGCAAGCACGGCCAGGATCGCCCACTGCCAGTGAGCGAGCCCGGCGGCCACCATGCGCGCCGCCGACTCCCCCGTTGATCTGCAGAGCCAAAGGCTTTCGGCAAAGCGAGGGGGGGAGCGACAAGACGCGACAGGCACAACATTTTCGTGCGCGCACCCCCAAGCTCTAGCCCAGCTGTCGGACACATAGGCGCTTCCACAAGGCCAGGGGGCGGGAGTGATTCGCCGCAGGCGTCTTCGATAGAGACCCCCACAGAAAGCCCAAATGCCAGGGTTCGCATGGCGGCACCGCACCCATATCGGCATACCCCTCACACGTTTTGTCGCCCCAGGGGAGGCCCCACAGAAGGCCCAAATGCCAGGGTTCGCACGGCGGCACTGCACCAATTTCGACACACCCCTCACGCGTCTTGTGGCCACGGAGGGAGCTCCACCAAAGGCCCGAATGGCGGGGTTCGCATGGCGGCACCACGTCGATTCGGGCACACTCCTCACACGCTTCGGGGCCCCATATGGGGAACTCCACCGAAAGGCCACATGGCAGGGTTCGCATGGCGACACCGCAGCAAATGCGTCATACCCCTCACACGCTTCGGAGCCCCATAGGAAACTCCACCGACTGCTCAAATGGCAGGATTCGCATGGCGGCACTGCGCAAATTTCGGCACACTCATCAAGCATTTCGGGGCCAGCTGCACCGAAGGCCCACATGGCAGGGCTCGCATGCGTGACCACGACAAATTCGTCACACCGCTCAAACGTTCCGGGGCCCCAGATGGGAGCCACACCGAAGGCCCAAATGGCAGGGCTCGCATGGCGGGCGGCACCGCACCTATGCCGTCACACCCCTCACCCGTTTTGCGGCGCTCACCTGCGCTGAGCCAGCCAGCCCCAGGTTTCATACGGCGCGCTAGTTGCGGGGAGAGAGTCATACCCGGCGATACTCACAGCTGCATATGGTTGGGCCCCGCGCCAGGCTAATTTGGTTGAGCGAAGATCGGGAGGAATCGGAGGACGAGGATGCGGAGGAGCAGGAATAGGACGAAGACGACAGCGGGGATAATGAGGACAAGGAGGAGCGGCCACGCCGCCATGACATGCGGCGGGCTGCACGTGCAGCGAGGCGCGCATGCTCTCCTTGAACAGCAGTAAGACATGCGCCTAGTCTTATTGCACACGTGGATGCAACAACGAGATTATGCACACGCACACGTCCAGCCTCCGCCAAGCTATGGTCGAACTCGCCTCCTAACCCAAGACGACATGAACGGCGGTTAGAGAGCGGACGCAGCGAGCAGCGCAGGGCGGGCGACACTGTAAGGTTTAATTCGTCTGCCGCCCTTCAACAATCGTCCCAGTCTGAGGAGACACCTGCGTATGCACTCTAGAGTGATTTCGTATGTGCGAACCATTTGCAGAGCTGCGAGTGGAGGAGCCATCGAGGGGGGGGATGAGAGTGATCTGATTGGAAGGAGCATGATGAGTAGGACGAGGAGGACGCGACAACGAAAGTGGGGATGAGAGCAACCTGATTGGAAGGAGGAGGACGACGAGGACAAAGCGGACAAGGGTTCGGAAGACGAGAGCGATATGATTGGGCCCCGTGGCCACCTCTGCTTGGCAGCCTGCGCTGGGGCCGCGCGCCGCCACATCCGCCGCGGGCACCGCGCCCAGCCCATCGGAGATTGCGACGTCCTGTTCCCCCCCCCTCCCTCCCCCCCCTCCTCCTACTGATGCTGCTGCTGCTGCTGCTCCTCCTCCTCCCGACTCTCTTTGCTTCATATCAGCAGACACGCAGGCACTTTCAATCCATGTGCTTCCTGATTTCAGGGGCCAGGCACCAGTAAGGCTGTATAACCCGCCAGCATCATCCTCCCTACTACCTGCTCCACCTCCTCCCTCCTCCACCTCTCCTGTTCCTCATCCCTCCTTCGCACCCCTCTCCTCCACCTGATGTTCCTCCCTCCTCCGCCAACTCACTCACTCCTCCCTGTCCTGCTCGTCCTCTTCCTCCTCCTCCCTCTCCTCTAGCACCGTCTGCGGGTTCTCCTCCACCTCCTCCTTCACCTCATCCACCTCATCTCCTTCTCCGTCCGAAGCCCCGCCCTCACCTCCGCTTGCTTCTCCTCCGCCTGCGATCTACGATGGGGGCAGGTCTGTTATCTGAATGGTGCGATCGGTCTGTTCCTCCTGCTCCTCCTGCTGGTGGACCTAGCTCGACCATGCTGATCCCACCTTGGGCGAATACGAGCCCGGACATCTGGCGGAGCGTTTGTTTTTCAATTCCCACTCCAGCTCCCGGGATGATTTTTTCATACAGGGCAGTTTTCTGATTGCCCTAGGGCCAGAAGCGGCCCTGGAGGCCGAAACAATATTTGGAGGGAGTGTAACCATGATTCAAACGTCAAGCCGCCAGACGTCTTTTTTGTCGCTGGCTCAAGCTGCGGAAAAAAATAATGACTCGCAATGCATGCGCGAGTCGGGGCGTGACCGGCAAGTGGAGGTCACCTCTCGCGCGTGCACGCCATGTATCAAGAACAACGTCGTATAGAAAAACGAGCCCCTGAAGGAAACCAATCAGAAACGAGCTCCAGAAAAAAAAAATTCAATACGCATACCGACGCCGTCAAGCGACTGTAACAAACGCAACAGTCGGTGCGCATCGCACATTCCTCTGGAATAATCACATCTTTGTGGTCGTCCTCCCCCATAAGACCTGGGACGGCAAATCCTGTTCCCCCCCCCCAATACTTCACGTACACATCCAAACGCAGGAGGTCACTGTCTGTATTTCCATGAACGACTCTGGGTCAAAATACTGCCCCCCCAGGGTTTCCTTTTGACAGTGAGCGCCACTGCCACATGCCCCCCCAAAGGGGAGGATGGGGGGGGGGGAGCAGGGGGAGCAGGTCAGAATGCCGCCCCCCTGGGGTCTCCGTTCGACAGTGGGCCCCACTGTCAACTGCCCCCCGGGTCCCCAGATGACAGTTGGCGCCAGTGTCAAATGGACCCCAAGGCCACCCAGTTCCCCCGTTTGACAGTGGGCCACTGTCAAATGGCCCCCAGATCCCCGTTTGACAGTGGGGTCCGCTGTCGCATGACCCCAGGCACCCTGTTGACAGTGGGCTTCTAGGTCAAATGGGCCGCAAGGCCGCCAGGTTTCACGTTTGACAGACGGCCCCACTGTCAAATGGGCCCCAAGGCCGCCTGGTTTCTCGTTTGGCAGCGGGCGCCGCTGTCAAATGGCCCCCAGGTCCCCTGCTGACAGTGGGCTCCAGGGTCAAATGGCCTCCAAGTCCCCGGTTGACAGTGGGCGCCACTGTCAAACGGACCCGAAGGCCACCCAGTTTGACAGTGGGCCCCACTTGCAAATGCGCCCCAATGCCCCGATTGACAAGCGGCCCAACTGTCAAATGGCCCCTAGGCCCCGGAGGCTCCCAAGAGAACCCCAAGATGGGCTCCAGAGTGTCAGCGTCGTCGTCGTAGCCGCCGCCGCCGTCGTCGTCGTCGTCGTCGTCGTCGTCGCCGTCAGGCCTTCCCAATGCACGAGGTCACTATCTGTACGTCCATGAACGACGTTCTGCTGAACCGCACTGAACGCAACGAATTGCAGACCCTCGAGCAATTGTAATGATATCCTCCGGCTTGCTTGGCTTTCCCCACTCCTGGTCATGTCACGATTTGTACCAGCACTACGTGGGAATTAACCATTCTCAAGCATTCCCAGAGAGGCGGCCGCAACGGTCCGGTATCTCGTAAAGATGGACGCTTAGCCCGCTGCTGTCCATCGCTGCGATAACATGCCTCACGGAAAATTTGGTTGCTTTGCTGTCCCTGGACGCGCGTCCAGGGCGTACACATCTGGAGAGCTGGCAGACATCGCCTACGCTGACGACACACTCATAGTGGGAACAACTGCCGCGCACGTCCCCAAGAGTTTGTCCAGGAGATCGCCAAGGCTGGACAAGCATACTGACTGGAGCTCCACGTCAACAAGTTTCAGCTGCTACAGACCGGCCGCCGCGCAGATACTCATATCGGAGACCACAGCCTGCAGGGCGAGGAATCTCTCGTGAATTCGGGGTCGACCCCGAAGTCCGACGGAGAGATGGCGATCGAGCTCAACAAGAGAATCGAGTTGGCGAGCGCAGAATTCCGCGCAGTAAAACACGTTCTGCAGAGGCTTGATGGCTTCCAAGCTAAGTACCTGCGATATACCATGGGTACCAAACCATAGTATGTCTTGCTGAATTCGAACGCAGCTGTTCTACACAAGGCTGGCGTGCAGTCCGCGTCAGACCAGCTTAGCAACCGGCAGCTCGTGTACATCAGCAAGATCATGCGCTCTCCGCCGAGATCGGCACCGAGAATGGCGTCTTTCATGACGGGAACAGACATCTCAGTCAACGATCGCTACGAGCGACGGAGGGGCCGACCGATCAAGGAAGGGATGCACACAGTCATGCCAGGGGCTATCCGGTCGACAGGATCGTATACACAAGTCCGTGAGCGAGCACAGGAGGAACATGCTTGGAAAAAGATCGTATACCAGAAGCGATTCATTCTCTGCCATGGTACCGTAGAGATCTACTGCTGGATTGTCTCTCCCCTCCCTTCCTGTTCCTTTGCTCCTCCTCGCCTCTGAAATGTCTCTGCTATTCTATGTCATTATTCGAGGAGCTCAGTGCGCAATATTTGTCCCAACATTTTTGGGTGAGCGGTCAGACATGCCGATCTGCATACCCGAGCCCGCTCCTAGGGGCTGCCCGCAGCCTGCGACTCCGACCGACCGACTGAAACATTCCCAAATGGCGCCGGCGCGAATCGTGAAATCACCGGCCCCCTTCCTCCCCTCCCGCCTCCCAAAGTCACTCACGTTATCGCCAGTGTGACATTCCTGTTGCACTGCGCGAGGTCTGGGAATTGCACTACACTGGGATCTTAATGCAACTTTCATCATCGCCTTTGGTTGTTCGTCGTCTTCGGGCCTGGGGACAATCCAAAATGGACCCAGGATGCATTCCCAGGGAAGTCCCCTGGACGTTCTTCGACACGACCTGCAAACGTTGCATGGTGCACTACTTTTCTGGGGGTGGGTGGGAAGGGTGAGAAAGGGGCCCTGCCAAGCGAAGTGGTCGGCCTGTCATGGTGGGAACCACGTCGGCTTTACAGCGCTAGACAACAATCACATTTCAGATTCGACCGCGTAGCGTACAAAAGCTCATGTTTGCCAACGTGAATCCTAAAGAGAATATTACTGCACGTGCAAGGTACGTGGTGCAAGCCGTGTGATGTGGCGCACAATATGACATGTAAGCTGAGTGGTTGTGCAAGCTATGCGGTGTAATGAGAATATGTCGCGTCCAGGAAGCGCCCTCGAGCAGTAACGGAGCGAAAGCTTGAAACTCCCAGCCAACACACGAGGCGGCCACGAGGTGCCCACGGGAGGAAACGTCGCGACAGCCCAGAGCTCCCAGCTGGCGCGTGAGGCGCCCACGAACAAAACCGACGTGCGACAACATTGCGAAAACCGCGCCCACGCATCGAGAACGGGCGGCATCGTCGCGAAAGTCCCGAGCTCCCGACCAAGTTCTGAGGAACCGAAGTAAGAACCGTTGTATGCAAGCATGTTTTAGGGAGTGAGTTTGGGAAGAAACTGTCCTCCATCCTTGAAGCTGGAAGAAACATTCAGAAGAACGTGCGCTGCGTCAGCGATAGTTCGATCTTGAAAAATAATCGCCTCCATCAGCGCAATTGTAAGGAAGTTCACGTCTCCAGAGCACGAAACGCTGACACTCTCGATCTATCAGGATTCACGCCTGGCCCGCCGTATCGTTAAGTCTGGCGATACTGCGAGAAACACAAGTTTCTGTACGCTGAAGATGCTAGCCAACGTGGGCACCAAATCACGGCGTATTGCAAACAACGCGGTGAAATTGTAGGTGGTGCACATACTTATTACCAACCCGTGCGTTGCCAACCCACTGCTCGCGCAATCCTCTCACCCTCTCATCCGCAACTTAGTTTGCAAAACCGATGCGGTGACGACTGCGATGACTTCTGGGCCATGGCTGGCGCATCTCTCCGGCCGCGCTGGCACGTCCAAGCTCGCGCGCAGAGCGGTCAGTTGGTTTGGCACAGCCGAAGCGGCCACGACGGCGCTTACCAAAGGCAACGTCCCAGCGCGTGCCAAAGACCGCGCTGGCGCGCGGGCCCTTCAATGCGGGTCGGTGGCTCGGGCGGGCGCGGTTATCATTAGTTATGACGTCGGCATCGGCGGCAACGATGAAGACAGCACCGATGATGGTGCCGATGATGAAGATGGCGACGGCAACGCCAATGACGGCGCCGATGCTATCAACGCCAATGACGATGATGATGTAAATATGTCGATTATGATGGTACTTGAATGATGATGGCGGCATTTGCGGCGACCGCCGATAGCGATGACGTGATGCGGCGGCGCTGGTGAGTGTGTTGGTGAAGCATTGCGCGCGTTCGGACATCCAAGAAGCCTGGCAAACTTTGTGTTGAACAACATTTTTCATACGTTGTTGATGATCGCTATTTTGAAGTGCGTCGAACATACTGTTTTGAACGGATGTCGACACCCTCGCATGGCGGCGCGCGCGTGGCCCGCATGGCCTTATTTGATACGGATTAGTGCACTGCGCGCATGCTGGAGCAACGCGGATACACCGCGTGGAATGAAAATGCGGATGCTGCGCGGGAGCGATCATAGGGTTTTTCGTATGATGCCAGCATGTTCGCGCGGGAAGGACACGTGCAATATGTATAATGAACAAACTTAATGTTCTGAAAGTGTTATGTCGATATATTTGCAAAGCTGGTGTGTCCAGTATGGTTTCGGCATGTGCACGCACACACATGTGGACATGTGGAGCGATAGACGAATGAACGCATAGTACAACTTATAACAAGTGAAAGGGGGCGATACCAGGCCTGCCAGGGTTGGCATACATTCGTGTGGAAGTTGAATATGCAGTGTGCAATGTCCCAGGGGTCCCCGCTGACTCCGAGGGCGAGAAAGTGCTAGAGCTTATGGTTCTTTAGGACAAGAAAATCAACGTGGTGCAATCTAAGTGGTGCAGTTCACGTGGTGCAATCTATGTGGTGCAAAGCAACGCAAAACAATGCAATGCACACCAGTGCAAAAACAATCCAAAACAGCGCAACGCAGTGCGACACAATGCGGATCAGTGCGGAACAACGCAACACAATGCGAAATAATGCGGGACAGTGCGAAACAATGCAGCGACCGCCTAACTGAAGGAACGGTGGCGGCGACGGATGGCGGTGACGGGCGGCCACAAGCCGGCCAGACCGACACTGGGGCCCAGTGCGCGTGGCGGCGACGGACGGCGGCGACGGGCGGTCACAAGTTGACCGTACCGACGCGGGAGTCCAACTACCTTAGTACAGAAGTAAGAGTCAGTCCTTGGGTGCAAGCACTGTTTGGGGAACTTCGGTGACGACGAAATACGACGACCAGGGGAGCCCAAAGAGGACGATTGAACTGAAGGGAAACACCCCGCCGTCCTTCAGATGGCCAGGAAAAGGGCTCTGCGCGGCGGCCTCCTCCTCCTCCGCGCGGCGGGCCGTGATTCCATCTGCCGCGACATCCCGGTCGCGAGAGCGGCTCCGGTCGCGATTGCCTGGGGAAGGAGGAGACTAGAAATGATAATGTCAGAAATGGAAGGCGTACTGTTCAATGTCCTTGTGAATAAGCCAGATGTGAATAAGGCGAGAATTAAGCGGGCACGGTGTCTGGCCATACTTGAACCAGAACGCCGACCTGGCGAGGTGAAACAAGCAAGGCAGGGGAAACAAGGCACTGGACAAAGAGCTACCGTTCGAGTCCGGTGTTCAAGCAAATCCGTCGTGCCATCGCAGGATTCAACACAAAGGGCTCTACTAACCGCTCCCTTCATTCGAAAAATTGCCTTGCGTGAAAGAACACGTTCGTCTGTGTCGGCAGGTCCCGTGGATAAGCCTTCACTCCGCTTCCGGGCACACTGGCCCCCGCGACACCAACCGCAAAAACCTTTTACGGCGCCAATGGAAAGTAGCGGAAGGACTCCCATCATTGTCCCATGGATTAGCCAAAGCCTGCGACCGAAGTCCCCCGACTGAAAACTCGCGAGAATATTTTGGGGAGCGCTGCGAAAGAACCGCAAGCTGCGCAGACACAGTCTGCGCAAACCCGCCCACTGTGATGCTCACTCGTCCATCCCGCTGGCGGTGGAGCACTCCCCCCGCCCCCGATGGGCCAATGCGGCTGTTGGAAATATGTACCCACTTCCGCCTCCGTGTGGCCTGGTGACACAGTCACGAGAGTCATCCCCGCATTTCTGCGTGAAGCTATGTTGTGAGCTCGGGACGACCTTCTTCAGCTTCTCGTCGCTGGACTTGACCGTGGCGTGGTCATAGCCGGTCTGGCCGTTCATTGCGCTGAGGATCAGCTCTCGGCCCATGCTGTCCTTGGTCATGGGGTCGGCCCGCGTGCCCCGATTGTCACACCAGTGCAAGTCGTCGATCTGCTTAGTGCGAAGCTGGTCAGCTCACACGCCACGGGTGGCCAGCCATGCTGTTTTCGGACGGCGGCCGGGCCAGGTCCATGGGCAGGGCGCTGAAGACGGACGCGCCGCCTATGGCGAGGTCTGCAGGGACCGCGCATCCCCCTTCCTCCCTTAGCCTCCGGATCTCCTCTGCAGACGCAGGGCCGTGCACCATCCCGCGCAACGAAGGGAGGCGCGCCTGCAGGCCGTCGGCTGCGCCGCATGCCGTGAGCAGCTCAAAGCAGAATGAGGATCTGCAAGCAAGCTTACGCGATCGGCTCGCTGCGTCCAGCAGGTGGCGCGCCCGCTTGCCGGTGCGACGGCGCTTGCCGCGACGCGCGTACACGGCCCCTCTCGCGCCGCATCCTGACCCCCCTCCCTCCCGAGGGGCCCGTCGCCGCGCGCGCTGAGTCGCTCGGCGCGCTCCATGGATGAAAACGCGACGCGCGCCTTTGTTTTTGGAGTGGCTAGAGCGAAGGAGTTGAGCTGCATCGCGCGTCGGATGGGCAGCTCATTCTTGGCTCTCTGCAGGGCGACGGCGCGCGCTGCGACGCGGTGCTGGGCGCGCGGGGCGTAGGCCGCTGCTCCCAGGAGGGGGACAAGGAGGTCGGGAAGCTGACCTCTGGCCGGCTCGCCGGCGTCGGCCTTGCCCAGGTCAGCGCGCCCGATAGGTATCAGAGCGTCGATGTACTCGTCTGGGTCGAGCGCCACGCTGCCATCGGCGCAGCGGTGCCGGTGCGCTCCGCAGTCGGTGAAGTCATCGCTGCCGCCCTTCATCTTACCGAAGACGCTCTCGACGCGGCCCCCGGTCGACCTCGAGCGCAGGGGGGCGGGCGGCCGAAAGGCTGCGCCTCAACGCATGGAAATCATGCGGCTCTTCACCCCGCTCTAATATGGCTTGCCCGAAGTATTGGCCACCGTCAAATCTCCCTTGTGAGAAGTAGATCTCATTCGCGGACTTGCTTCCAGCACTTTCGACAGCGCTGCGGGTGGGCAGCCCGTTAGAAGACTGCTCGAGGCCGAGGAACGCTGGGGGGGGGTTCGCGGGAAGCCAACTCGCCGCCTTGCGCGTCGCCCTCCTTTCAGGCTTCAAATGCACCGCGCGCGCATGGTCGGATTTCTTAGTTTTCGGCGATGACGGGCGTCGCTGGGCGGGGGGGGGCGCGGGGGCGGGGGGGGCATGGCGCAGCGCCCCCCGCCCCCCGCCGCGCCCGCGCGCGCGACGACGATGAGCGACGAGCGACGACGACGACGACGACGACGCGAGCAGCATGTAGGTGGCGATCTGCCTCGCAGCGCCCGCGTGCCACCACAATGCTTGCGTGCGCGACAGCGCGCGCACACCGCTGCGCCTGCGTGCACCGCGACTGCCGCGTGCAACGCAGCGCCTATGCACAGATGGAAGGCAGGTCGTTTTCAACATGTGGCTCTCGCCTGAGCGCCGCGCACATTCGTTTTCAAAGACTGCAAGACCTTCGAGGATTGATGGCGGGTCGTTTTCATAATGCGGCTCTCGCCTTAGCGCCGCGCACATAAACAGTTGCATGCGCTTCACGGATGGATGGCGGGTGGTTTTCAAAATGCGTCTCTCGCCTGAGCGCCGCGCACATTCGCTTAACAACAACTGCAAGTCATGCGTTCGCGGATTGAGGGCGGGCGGTTTCCAACATGTGCCTCTCGCCTTGGCGCCGAGCGCATTCTTTTCAAACTGTTGCAAGAGTTTCACGGATTGACGGCGGGTGGTTTTCAGCGTGCGTTTCTCGCCTTAGCGCCGCGCACATTCGTTGAGCAAAGATTGCAGGCACTTCACGGATTGAGAGCGGGTGGTTTTCCAAATGTGCCTCGCACCTCAGCGCGCGCGCATTAATTTCAAACGTTTGCAAGAACTTCACGGATTGAGGGCGGTTCCTAAAAAATGTGGTTCTCGCCTGAGCGCCGCGCACATTCGTTCTCAAGCATTGCAAAAGATTCGCGGATGCCCATGGTCAACGTAACTGAAATGGCGTTTTGGAAGGGTGCCGGGTTATGCAGGTGCAGAAATTCGGTTGATTCGCAGCACTGAAATCCAACAAATGGCGCTTTGGCGCGATTCCGAATCGTCAAGACGCAGCCGCCAGGTTGACGCGACGCGGCGTTGAAGTCCCGAGAACAATGTTTAGGCGCGATTCAGGATCCTCAAACAGTTGTCTCCCAACGAGGCAGTTTCCTCAATGGAAATGAACCGTTGTAGGGGCCTCTGAAAAGAGGGAGCTTGGAGGGAGGGTTAATTCCAACGTCGTTGATGACTTTGAGGTTTACGCTGGTCCTCCCCCTCCTCCTTTTTCCCTCGCCCCCCCCCTTTGCGCGCGGGGCGGCGCTGCCGCGCGCGCGCATCTCCGCGTGCGCCGCAGAATGACATGGCGAATCGGCCCATTGGGGCTCGGGCGGCCACGCTGGGGCTTCCTGGGCGCAGATGGGGGGAGTTAAGATGACGCGGGCGGACTCGGGGGGGCTCGTAGATTCCAGCGGCGCTCCTTTTTTCCACCGGGGTCCCTTTCCAAATCCGATGTAAAACAATTGTTTTCAGTGGAATCCACAGGCGCTCCTTTTTTGTCATGAGGATCCAATTCTCCTGCAGTTCTATATGCAACCGCGGTGCTCTGTTGCGCGCAGTTGCCGCGGTGCACACAGGCGCCTTGGTGTACACAGGCGCTTTAGTGCGCGCAGGCATTGCGGTGTTCACAGGTGATGTGTTGAACGCGGCTGATGGTGTGCGCAGGCATTGTGGTGTACACAAGCGCTGCGGTGCCCGCAGGCACTGTGGCGCACGCCGGCGCTGTGTCGCACGCGGTTGCTGTGGTGCACATAGGCGGTGTGGTGTACACAGGCGTTGTGGTGCAGTTCGCCACCTACATGCTGCTGCTGCCCGTCCTCGGTCATTCCTGGGCATTGCCAGACGCCGCCGGCGCGAAACGCGACGCCATGGGCCCCCTTCCACGCGCCCAGATGATTGCCGTCGTCGGGCTGGAATGAAAAACAAGCTTCAGCCGCGCCCGCGCGCGCGACGACGATGAGCGATGAGCGACGACGACGAGCGACGAGCGACGAGCGACGACGACGACAACGACGACGGACCAGTTTGACATGCGGATTTCTATGCGGACACCTATGCGGACCCCGATGCGCACTGCGGCAGTGCCCGGGGCGCATCGGAGGCGGGCGTCGCGTCGTAGGGGTGGGGGCGCGGGGGCCGCGGCGCCTATCATGCCCCAAGCAATAAAGAAACGCGCTCTAGTTCGATGAGGGTAACGTTGCTTTTTTCCACTCATGTGTCACCAAAACGCAATATCTAGTTTGCGTAGCGCGAATGAGCGTCTGTTCCCAGCCCAGCAAGAAAGCCCGCCAAGCCCGGGGGCGCCGTCTTCAGCTCGCCCCAAACCCCGCCGGGGGGGGCGGCAAGAGGAAGATGGGGGTCACAGAGACGAGCGCCTGCGCCATTTTGACGCAGATAAGAACGCGCCACAACTCGACCTCTTTCCCGGCGAGGACAGGCCGCCAATGACCCCCGAGCGGCTGAAGCGCGGCAGCTGGCTCCGCCACAACCAACTTCCCGCGCCTGTCCGAACGCCTCGCGAAGACATCCTGCGATCAGAAGGTGCCCGAAGTCGGCTCAGCTGGATGGTGATTCTTAGTTGTCTCCGGGCTTGCCTCCGCGTCATCTCGTCGCTCGCGCGTGGCATCGCCTGTCTGGGGCTGGCTTCCTCCTGGGAGGCTACCACTCGGTGGATTGAGCTAGGGTGGCGATGGAACGCAATGGAACACTGGCGGGGCGATCGGCCCCACTGCCCCCTCCAGCGGATCGGCGCCAAGGAAGCGCCTGCTCAGTTCACGCGATCGCCAAATCTCCGGAGCACTTCGTCGGGCGCCCCGTCTCCAGATCGCCCCCCCCCCCCCCCCCCCCCCCCCCCCGACGCCCTCAAAGACGGAGAATCGGGCAAAATGCGACTCTGGGCCTGTGGAGATCAGGCCGCCCCAAGCGATCGTGGCAGCGTCGCGCGTCATCTGGGCGCGGAGCTCGAGCTTCGGCGGGGGAGCTGGGCAGGCTACCCTAGCCACATTGCCCGAAGGTCGTCGGCGTTCAGGGCGCCCGCATACCTCGGGCGGAACAGGGCGCTCGCAAGCAGGCGCGACCCCCCGCGGCTTGAACGCGACCTGGGTGGAGGCGTGGTCCGAGATCTCTCGTTTGCTCCAGCTCGGGGGGGCCCATCACTGAACCTGCGCCGCTGAGCTGAGTGCGTGGCCAGCCAGGGGGCGCAGCGCATTGCCTGCCGATGTGGCCGAGTGTTCTCCTCAGGGTAACATGATGACTGGGTTCGGGGGCCTCCATCTCCACCGCCCCCCTACGAAACCCGATGAAAACCTCATCTGGCGTGGCCCTCCACTCCGCGTCGGGCTCCTTCCTAGGCGGCTTGCAGGCGAAAGTCAAGTCCCCGCTGACTATGACTAGAGACTGGGTGGGGAGCTCGTGGGCGCGATCGAACTCCATGAACAGCATGTCCTACATCCTCTTCCTCTCATCCCTGGTGAGCCTACAGCTATGGGTACTGTTATGGAATATCACCGTGCCGCCATGCATATTGCAAGTAACCTAGACAGCGCGACCTGGAGCAACCTCGAACTTTAACGCGCGGGGCCTCCTCCCAGAGGTGATCAAAACTGGGAACTCAGGTAATGGCACCTCCTGCCTGGAAGCATGGGCAGAATGGTGCCCAGGGCCCAGAACTAACACTTCTAGCCTGCTGCCGTGGCTCCCTTGCGCTGCTGCGACGGAACCTGGCGTCAACGGTCGACGGAGGCGAACGATTTTGGGATCGCGGATTTGAAGTCAACCCTCGCGCGGCCCACGCGGCGAGACAGCTCGGGGCGAGAGGCTGCCAGAGGACCAGGAGGTCCACGAACTAGAACGGACAAGTCGCGCCGACATCAGCAGCGCCCTCAGCGCGCAGAGGGCGGGGCCCGCGCTGCGCCTTCGACCGCGGCGTGAACTGAACGTGGACATCCGGTCTGCATGGCTTGCCGAGCTTAACGAGCCCGCCGCGAGAGGCCATGTGATTGCACTTCTGGCGCGCGCAAAAAAACATCGGAGCGGCCCATGGCGGCGCGCCCGTGGCCGAGGGCCCTGAGAGCGGCTGGCTGCGCGCGCAGGGGCAGGGCGCGCGGGCCTCTCGCAGGGCGACCGTTGGCAAGTGCCGCGTCTGCCACGCGCGAGCATTCAGAACGCTGCCGACACATTCCTACCCGCGCCCACTGGCGCGGGCGGGGGGGGGGGGGGGACAAATCGCCCCCCGCCTTGGCGGCCGACGTGCCGGAGGCCTCCGAGACGCGCCGGGCGCCGGGGCCCATGTCCAGGCGAGGTCGGAGCGGGGGGGCTCGAGCAGCTAGGCGGGCGACAGCCTTAGTGGCGGCGAGGCATCGACCGAGGCCCTCGGCCCCACCAGGGGAAAGCGCGGGGCGCAGGGTCACCGCGCTTGGCCGCCTCGCCAGCCCAAGTACTACCTTGGCGAAGGTCCTCGGAATCAGCGGCGCCCTCGACGTCGAGGCGGGCCGCGACCTCGGCAACCGACGTCTTGGGCCAGTGCGGACAAAGTGGGCACTGCAAGGGAACGTTCTCTTTGCCGAGCACTGCGCAAACCATAGGGGGGAAGGGGGGCCCACCGCGTTCAGGCTGCTGGGGAAACAGCGCGCGGGCCCGCGAACCACCGGGCCGAGGTCGAGAGGGCGAACAATTCGGCGGCTCGAGGCGCTCGCGGGCACGGGGGCCGCGCGGGCCCCCGCGACTGGGCAATGCGTCGACGCGCGCGCCTGCGCGCAAGTGTGAAGGCCAAGCCAGCTCGGTTTAGTTCTTACACAACTCGACGAATGCGCGATCCATCGACGAGGGGGCCTCCTTCGGACGGCAACGAGTCAAGGTCAGCAGGCGCCCCGTCTACCCGCTGAACTCGCGCCCCCCCTTCGGCGGCGGCCCCAAAAAGCGAATCTCCAGGAGGGGGGGGGGGGGGGCGTGACAAGCGAGCAAATCGCCGGCTTCGGCCGCCCATCGCAGCGCGTCTTCCTCGACGCAATCACCGCGCAGGTCGCGAAAAGCTCGGCGCTGGCGCTGCCAAAGCCGATGCCTCCAGCGCGCCCTCGCAGCCCCCATTGCAGCGGGCAGCGCGCAGACGGAAACGCATGACCTAAGCTGGCGGCGCACTGCCCGGCAAAAATCGCCCGGTTAGCGCGGACTCGCATGCGACCTTTCTCGAAGGGGCTGAACGTCGTGGAATTCAAACATTGGAAACGCCGCCAACATACTCACTTCAAATCGCATCTGGTCCCGCGGGCCCCGCTTGAGGCCCCGGCGGGCCGCGCCGCGAAATGCGTTTTTATCCAGGTGTGTGTGTGTGTGTGTGTGTGTGTGTGCGTGTGTGTGTGTGTGTGTGTGTGTGTGTGTGTGTGTGTGTGTGTGTGTGTGTGTGTGCGTGTGTGTGTGTGTGTGGGGGGGGGGCTCCGCGAGGGCCGCCCCGCGGCCCGCGTCGGGAACGAGAAGGGGCTCTCTTTGGGAAACACAAAACCCCAAGCAGCCTTTAATTCAACGAGAGGGAGAGACTGGCTGTAGAGGCGGTGGCGGGAAGTCCAATTCTCTTTGGATAGTCGACCGACAGGCGCAACAGCCGCGCGCCACTTTGGGCCCTGGCGGCCCAGGAGGAGGTCAGTGGGGCCCCTGCATTTCGCCGACGGCTGCAGCGCACTCCCAGACAGCGCTCGCAGCTCACGATCTGTCACCCCGTGAACGTCAGAGCCGTAGGAGGAAGAGCGCGCAGCTCCAGGCGCCGAGGCACTGCGAGGGACGCGACCCCCCCCCGCCCGCGAGCTGGGCCTGATCCTGGCCAACATCTCAGTGAACGCCGGCGCCCGACCCCCCCCCCCCCCCAGCTATCTACTTGCTGGAACGGCTCTTGCAACGGCGAGTGCGGCCAACGGCGCCATCGACCCCGAGATTGCCGGAAAGGCTGACCAATGGCCCAGCAAGGCCTCCGAGTCGCCCGCCAAGGCGAACCGCGAGCGCGCGAGACGAGCGCATCAACGACTGCCCCCCAACCTTCCGATTGACTATGGCCCCCGCTCCATCCTCCAACGCGCGAAACAATTTCTGCGCAAAGGGTGGGAGATGACGCAATATGTACTTGGCAGAGCCAGATCACGACAGGCCAGGGTCGTCGATGCGCAACTTGGAATGAAGCTGAGCAGGCAGAGGCAGCGTGTCCAACGCCTGCAAAGAGTAAACCTGGGCGGGCTTGCGACGTTGCCTGCCGACTGGAAAAGACTGAAGGACCCCTTCTTTGTCGATGACGAACTCCGCTCATTCCCGGAGACACCACTCGATGTCCGCGGGCCTGTCTCATGGGTAGAGGGTGAGCTTCGCCAGCGGCTTCCACCCAGCTGAAACTTCCCCTTCCTGCTTGTCGCGGAAATACCTGTGAGCACCTGCGTGTGATTCGAAGGCCCGATTGGGCTGCTTGAGGCCGCGTTCCCTCTTGACCACGACTGGTGACTTGTCCGTGCCTACATAGGTCTCGGCGCGCTGCCCGATGAGCTCGGCCCGAACGTGCCACTCTCACTCGCAAGTGGGATACCGAAGTGCGCCGATCGCCTGGGCCACCCTCCACTGAGCGTACATGGCGTCCCCTCGAATTCTGAAAACGAACTTCTTGTCGGCGGGGTCTGGAGTGAGCAAGCAAGCTTTCTTGTCGATCTGGGCTCGCTGGAACCAGGGTTCAAGAACGTTCTGGACCTCCTCCTTCGTGATGATGGACTTGCACCAGGCCGCGACGATGCATGGGTCAATGTTACGATTCGGCGTGGAGCCCACGTTCGCGGCAATCGGTTCCTCCGCCCTGATACTATGGAGTACATCACGGAGCTCTGCCATCGGCTTCTCAAGATTAGTGATGCGCTTGCCTGCCACCGGCTGATGTCGACGGGCCTATCCCCGGCGTTGTTCCATCTTCCTATTGAGCTGGTCGCGCTTGGTGCCGGCAGTCTTGCCGAACATGGCGACGGACTGCTGCAAATTCTCGAGTGCACACACGAGTTCCGATCTGGTGTCGTCGACGATGCCCCAAACCTGTTGCACAGCAGCCGTAGCATCATGAACATTGTGTGCCTGAACTTTCTCCTGGGGGCTCTCGCTGCCACCCATGTCACCTCGCCATCCGCGACTGCCTTGCGTGGGGAGTGTGGCAGGAGTGTCGATCGTCGCCGCCACCTCCCCCGTGAAGGCGTTCCCACCACCATGGGACATCTGGTGTGGGTGCGACGCCGAGGCGATCCACAGCGCCTGAGGCTCCTGTGGAGGTCGGGAGCGGACGCCTGCAGGGACTCGAGCAAGCCCCTCGCTTGCGGCCAAAGTGAAGCCGTCAGAGATTCGCGGCTTTAAATTGAGCCACAATGGCTGCGGACCTCCTCCTCTTCCTCCTCCTCCTCCTCCCCCTCGTCCTCCTCTCTCCCTCTCTCCCCTCCTGCCCTTCCCTGCATCACTCCCTGCCCTTCCTGTTTCCCTTCCTCCCTCCCCTTCCTCTTGCCTCCCTCCCTACACTTGCCCCTCATCCCTCCCTCCCTCCCTCCCTCCCCACCTTCCTCCTGCCCTCCGTCCCCCTCCTCCTCCTCCTCCTCCACCTCCTCCTCCTGCACCTCTTCTTCCTCCTCCGCCTCCTCCTCCTCCTCTTTCGCCTCCTCCTCCATGTACAAGATTTTCACCCCACGCGTCGCCTTGGGTCACGAGCGCTGGGCGGGCGTCCAGCCAGCAAGGGCGGCTCTTGACGGCGTGCAGGAGCGCGTCGTCGAGCCGTTGCTTCTCGGCGGCGCTGCCCTTCCGAGCGGCGGCAGGAGTTCCCCCCTCCAGGAAGAGGGAGTTCCTGCTGTTCGTTTTGTTTGAAGCTCCGCCTAGGACCGACCACCCGACGACGCCCTCAGGACGCGACGCGTGGCGCCATTGACATGTTTCAATCGTCCCGTGGCCCCAGGAGGTATGGCGCACCGTGAATACTATCACAGGCCCAGCGCTGAGAGAGAACGTCTTCGCGACACCGACATCATCCGCCGCCTCCTTCCTGCTGCTTCGTGTTGCCTCTGGCCCTCGACGATCGAGGGGGGTGGACCAAGAGATCTCCGTTCAATTGTCGGGCCTCAGCGGGCCTCCGGAAGACGGCATCCAATGGCGTCTGGGGACCTCCAGGGACCTCCAGGGGTCAGGATCCGTGGCGGAAGCTGCCCCCCCCTCCCTCTGCTTTTCCTCAGCGGGCGCGAAGTGGAACACTCCACGCCGCCCTGCCTGCAAGCGTGATGGCTGCTTCGGTCCGGATTAACCCACTCCTGCCCATCACGTGGCCGTGCAACCACATCGATATCTCTGTTGCTCCCCGGGCAGGATCAGTCAACATCGAAGCGGGCACTCGGATCGGATCGGAACGTGCGTCGGATCGGGCCGCATCGGCACAGAGTCAGAATCGGATCGACTCGGCACCGCCCGAATGCACAACATCGCCGTGCAAACATCCTGCCAGATCACATCGTCGCAATTCTGGAATCGAATCGGATCGGTCCGGCCGAAATCGATATCGAATCAGATCGATCGAATCGGATCGGATCGATGGACCCTGCAGGGGTTCAAGGAGAGGGGCAGGAGCAGGAGCAGGAGTACCGTCGGCAATAACGCCTCCCTCGAGAGCCTTCCACAACCGCAGGCGCGCGACTGGGACGGTCACGTGGAATACAGCCTTGCCCCTGAAGCCGTGCTGGAGGACGAGGGGGTTGGGGTAGATGACCGTCACGAGGCCTGGCTCGTGAACCTCGAGAAGGGTCGGGAAGGCGCGACTTTGACTTCAGCAATCCCCTATCTGTGATTCTCCCATGCGAACGCCTCGCATCCCACACCATCGTTGGAAAGAGCAAGAGGTCCAGACATTGCCAAACCGTCGTAGTGCGAAATGTGCCCTTCGAGTCGCCGATCTAAGAGAAACGCGCATAGATTAACTTTTCCAGGGTTCCCCCTCAGGTCAAAGAGCGCCGCCCCCTCCCCCGAAACCCAGATCTGGCGACGCCAGGCCACGGAGAAGGGATGAGGAGGGGGAGGAGACCGAGAATAGGGAGGAGGAAGAGGAGGACGAGGAGGACGGAGGACGGACGCCATGAGCGGGGCAACGGCGCTGAGGCTCGAGACGGTCGGATCGGGCCGGGTCATCGCCCTGGCGGCGACACAGGACGAGGCCGCCAGAGAGGGCTGGCCGTAGGGAAGATGCCTCAAGAGAACCCAAGACGCTTTCAAACTACCTTCGAGAGGCCCTGAGATGCTCGCTACATCGCCGCTCCGAGAGTTCCTGGAATTTTCTGACATGGGCTCGATGGCATTGTGTGCTCACCTACTTTGCAGCCCTCTCGGCAACGGCCCCCGATGGGGTTGAGGGGCAGGGTGCGTTGAACCCCCCTCACTCCCTAGAAGCCTAGCAAGATAGCCCTCTTGCGTGGTCTCGGCGGGATCCTTGGCGAGTAATTCCCCGTCTAATAATATACTTGTAGTCCAGTCAACCATAAATCCCACCCATAAAATATGGGGTCCGGATTAATCCCGCGGTGGGACCCAATCCCGCCAATGTATGACGTGTTCGGGCCATCTTGAAGTCATCTTGAAATCATCTCAAGGTCATCTTAAGATCGTGGTGTTGCACTCTCGGAATGCTCCGGCCACCTCGGGGTCGCTCGGGGGCCTCCGCACCTGGTCTCCAGGGCATCGCTCACATCTTGGGCCATCTTGGATTCGCCCCCATGCCATTTCGACGCTGTGTCTGGATCCTGCAGGGGCCACGGGGTCTTCTTAGGGTCGGCCTGAGGTCATCTTCGTGCCCGTCTGAGGCCGTCGTGGAACCATGT